AGCGACAGCTGCCCGGGAGGCCAAACCCTCCCAGTCCTGTAGTTTGCAGCAATAGCTCGCATTAAGGATACGCTGCCGCGCAGTTCCTCAGATCATCTACATTTGGGAAGATATGGGTGATTTCTCTGACAGACAGCTGCCTCTAGTACATTTGGGTGATGGTCATGTTTGTAATTTTGAAGGTGAAAATGTGATTAGTGAAATTATGATGAAAGATTCCTTTCGCTCCGATGCCCCTCAAAAAATCAGGGGTCTTTTTGTAGGAATATCTCTAAACAGAATGACACTTGCAGGTAATGATTTTTTTAGGAGGCTCTTCATAAGCCAGTATCCTACCCAATTAATCCACTATAGGACAACCCATTAACCAAAGCAATTTCTGCTGGTTTCTTTACCTCCCACTAGTGTGAACAGGGGTGCTTTCTGCTCAGCCTTAGAGCAAGTCCTTGGATTTAACCCAAGCTGCCTCTGCCTGTTTTCTCCCCGTGCAGCCTCCATGCTATTGAAGCTGTTTGGCTGTCACTCTTCCATGGTTGGGTGTTTTGTCATTTTTTGATGCCAGGATGCATTTGCTGTCAGGGGGAATTTACAGGCACATTAGCTCACCTGTTAGAGACAGGGAGCCACATCGGCTGCTGAGCTGAGGGTGCCACATGCAGCTCCTTCATTTTCTGTTGGCTGTGGTGGAATTTCCCAACTGCACTAATTATATTACCACCCTGATACAAGCCTCTGAAATAATAAAATACCTGGAAGTCCTGCTGTTTTGACTTCAGAACAATTGCAGTTAATTTTAAGTAATTCACTGGAAAATCAGCTGGGAGAATACAAAGCTGTGCAGTCCTAACGCCTGCTATTATGACGTGAACATCACCAGAGTGGGGGGCAGCCTGCTGTGCGTAGAAACAGTTGCTATGTAGGGTTGGAGCGGTCATTCTTTGGACTGGATTTCAGGAGTTCACAGTAATCAGCACCCATCCTATTTTTACTGGTTATTGTTTTTCACTGATTAACCTTGTTCTCTTCCCTGTCCCTGAGTATCAAGAAGGGTCTGTGGCCAATGCGGCTGATGGGTTGGGTGATAGACAGCTGCTCTAAAAATAGATGGCAAGGCTGGAGGGCAAGGCAGCTTGACTCTTCCTCCAGGAGGCTGAGATCCTCTGTATTGCATATGGTCCTGACCTGCCTTTGGGGTGGTTTTCTGGGGGCTGAACTCACTCACACATGAGATTAATTCCTGCACAGCAACTGAATAGATTTAATAATGAAACTCAGAGAGTATTGTTATGAAAGTCTGAGATGCAATACCGCCTGCCTTGGCTTAGCAAAGACTCTTGTGCATGGGATGCTTGGTGGGTTTCAAAGAAGCCCAGGAGGACTCAGAGACCTTGAAAAATGGTCCAGGTGGAACATGAGATGCACTTCTGCAGAGTCATTTCTCCCCCAGCACCAGTACACTTCTGCCTTCCCTCTGGGACAGTCGTTCTGAGCTGTGAGGGAGAGAATGAGTTTGCAGTAGCAGTCCTTTGCAATACCACCTTGCACAGCCATACACACTTGCACAAAGCAATGGAGAGAGAAGCCCACAGTGAGCCCACAAACGTCATTCATTCAGGAAGTGGCATTAAAGTGTCATTTCCACACTCTGGCAGTGGCTAAAAGGGCAGAAGTTGCTCCTAAACCTTTGCCCACTATGAATTTCTGTAGGTTTGGAGGCTGATTCAAGAGGAACATTTAAGAATATGCTAAATTCAAAACTTGTGCTTATGTTCATTATTTAGCATAACACATGCATATGTCTTGAGTTGACTTCAAGAAGATATAAGCACGTACTTATATTTTAAGATATGTAAAGTGTTTTGGTGAAGCAAGTCTTTGCCCTCTAAAAGAAAAGCAGAGGAGCTGTTTTTAGCATGTAAACGGACATACGGGAAGTTTCTAGTACTGCATGTTACAGCACAGCATCTACAGAAACTAACAGCAGGCTTAAAAGGGAAGGAGCTGTGTCCATTAAGAGGTTAGTAGGACAAAATTAAGAAATAGTGCCTGTATAACAAGCAGCTGGTTTTCCTGGAAAAAACTTTGGATCTGGATGAAGGCTGTTCCTTGCTTTTTATATATAAAATAAACAGTTGTTTTCATCTGACTTGTTGGAAGAACTTAGTTTCTAGTAAAATCATCCCTCCAGCACCTGCAGGGCTGCTGCACCAGCAAGCCTGCTATGGTACTGGTTTATTTTAAACATAGACTATTAGTTTTATTTTTCTTTAAAAAAGGAGTTGGATTTTCTTTTCTTCCCTATTGGCCAGTTGGTATAAATAATCCCACTGCAATCCATGTGAATTTTACTGCCATCATTGCAAGAGATTGGGACTCTGATATTTAGGTACTTTTTGATGGTGATTTTTAGAAAAAGCTTCTCAAAAGGTCTTTCATGTCGTTCTTTTGTACATCAGAAAATGTATGTCTTACTTTTCATCTTTCTCGTGAAAGTGTTGAGAACTGGAGGATTATGGTTGTCATAAAAATGAAATCTGGGAGGGGTAATGGTTTTAATCAGACTGGCTAGAAGCTGTCAGGTTTTAGTTGTGCTTTTAGCTTTTATTTAAGTCAAGCTCTGGACAATGAATTGTTGAAAGAAAGTTTTCTTTTGAAGTATTTTTCACCCTTGCTTCTTAGTGAGGATAAAGTTCCCATTCTGAAATTCTTTCCCAAGAAAAGTCAGGAAAGCCACACCTCTAACACTTAGCAATAAGAAGAGAAGGAAAAAAAAAAGTAAATTACATAATGCTGCAACTTGGACTTGTGGATGGGATTGTTCTAGAGTTTAAATATCTGAAGCAGTAACCCTATGCTCTCTTTATACAAATGGAAAAAAAATTGCCCCATTTCATGGCAATTCATCTCACTCACAACAGATACTTGAATACACCTAATGAGTCCCACTCCAGAGAGCCCCATCTCTCTCCAGTGGTGATGAAAAGACCCTTGGGGACCTAGTTCACAGTTGACTGAATAACTTTTAGACATTTCAAGTAAGGTGCCAAGAAGTAAATTCAACTCAGTGAATCCATCCCTCCTGGCCACTCATTCTCTCTCCTGGCCCCCACTTTCTCCAGTCTCCTTGTCCCTGCTCTTTGAAGCCTTCATGCTATGCTCAGGCAAGTACATGTTTCGCTTTCACTGAGGTCAATGGCAGCATTTGTAAATTCTGGAGAAGTGGTTCTTTTTCAAGGACAGTATCATACAGAAGAATAAATCTTATGTTAGAAATTCCCAAAGTTTGAAATCCAGCTGTGGAGGTCAGATCGAGCGGGTAGACTTGGTGGGAGGAAGATTTGTGGAAAACAGGGAATACTATTCACAGAACAAACTTGCCTGTTCCATAGGGAGAGATGAAAAATTTAAGCTCTTTGAGGCAAGAACTATGATTTCATTCTTTTTTTTGGGTTAGGGAATAATCTTTTTGGTCTCAGTTCATAAACGACTTTGTACAACAGGTTTCTGGCCTGGGAGATGACTTTAATTTGGACTAGGTTAATGCAAATGCATAACAATGCAGAAACCACACTTGTGTTACCCCCAGGCCTGAGGAGCTGGTGTGCAGGGAGTCCCAGTGGAGCTGAGTTAACAAGTCTGTCCTTAGAACACTATCCTTTTAGCAATGCAGTAGCACCATGTGATTTCCCTGCCAGTGGGAATTGTCTCTCTTTTTCTAGAGAAAAAGGAGTAAAAGTGACTTCAATGTACAGAAAATGCATTTTTAATTTCATTTTGAACACCCCTGTTTTCTTGTTATATGACAAAACTCCCAATGATGGTATAAAACCTAGTGTAGAAATAAATGCTAGAATTGAAGAATATATTATAACATATAGTTTTGCTTTCCCGTGGACTTTAAGAAAACAAAATCTGATTTAACAATATCTTCATCTCTGTATTTCAAAGGTGCTTAGCCTTGACAGTTTTGGTTGAGATTTTTATCATGTATGCTGGTCAGGGAAGCAGTGATGTCTGCTCTTGGCTGAAGAGAGAGTGATTTGAAGTTATTTTAAAGAGAGTTTGTGCTGCACTGAAGATTCTCTTAACAAAAGCCTGTTAACATTGATCCAAATAAAATAATAATATGACTGAACATGTTAGGGAGGTGGATCAATACAATAGTTTAAGATACAGTGGTAGCACTTGTTTCCCAAGACACTGTAGCACAAAGCAAGTACTAGGGTTGCTGCATGGCTGAAAATATAATAATTGAATGTAAACTTGAAAGCTGTTCAGACTGAAATAGAGAGAATATTGTTTTTGATTAAATCCTTCAAGGCTCTTGTCCCCCTTTGTTAGCCAAGCTCATCTACTCAATATACTCTCCTGCCTTCAAATCCAGCCTGAAGTGAAAATAACTATTATTCCTATTACTGTTGCTTTGGTGCAACAGTAACATAGGTGCTCACAAGAACACACGACCCTGCTCAGATCCTGCTCCTTGTGTCTGCGACCTAATGAAAAACCTTCTGAAGTCAAAGAGAATTTTTGCACTGACGTTAATGGCCTTCAGATAAAATTATATGAAAATGCAAGCAAGAATAGAGGGCAGAAGAATGATCTCTAGATGAGGGTTTTTTAAAAAAAATTATTTCCTTTCTTCATTCCTTCCTTCCTTCCATATAATAAATGCCACCTCAGCTTCACTTCTGCTTGGTTGTCATAGGATCACAGGACAGTTCAGTCTGGTAAGGACCTCAGGTTTCTAGCCCACCCTCCTGCTTAGAGAAATTTGACAGGTTGCTCAAGGTTTTATCCACCCAGCTTTTGAAAACCTCCAATACAGGAAGAAGACTGCACAACCCTTTTGGTGACCTGTTCTACTACTTGCCTATTTCCATGGGGACATTTTGTCCTAATATCCAGACTGAGCTTCTCTTGTTCCAGCATGTGCCTGTTGTCCATCATCTTCTTCACCTTGGTAAAGGTGCCATCTCCATTGTATTTTTGATATAAGTTCTGCTGGGTCTTCCATCCCACCTCCAGGCCCAGCTCCCTCAACCCCAGGTGCCAGGTGCTCTGGCCCCTGAGTGTCCAGGTGCCCTCTGCATCTTCAGATGGCTGATGTCCTGTACTGGAGGACCCAAAACTGCACACGATATTGTAGATATGGTGAGATTGTGAGATACACGTGCTGAGTAGTAGGGGATGATCATATCCCTTGACTGAGTCTTCATACAGCCCGGGATCCTGTTGACCCTCTTTGCTGCCAGGCACACTACTATCTCATATTCAGCTTGCTGTTTGCCTATAGACCCTGTCCCCATCCAGTAAGGCTCCAGTCTC